GCAGACATGCACACACTGCAATTTAAACCTAGTCTGCTCTGTATCAGTGGTGGATGTCAAAGAAGGAATTTTACCGTATCCTTTACAGATGTGATGTGTGTTAAGGTGAGGGGTGGAGACCATTGATTGGCATGCACTAAATTTTTTGCTTTTCTGTGCAGAATTTTGTGGCAAGAGTTCTGGTTCTTTTTTCTTTTTTGAAGACAATTAGATCCAGAAGATAGATTTGTGTGTATGTAGCAAGAATATAATATGGTGAACAGGGCTGTATATTAACTTTTTTGCACTTGGCACTGGTGCTACAGAGGACATTGCATATACAGTAAGGCACACAGACAAGAAATGTTTTCAGACAAACATTTTCTTTATTTGCCCAAAATGGCAGACTGCATTGACACCTCTTGCTTAAAGGAATAGCTCACCCAAAAATACTGTGAGCATGTATGGATTAGAATGCTAGTTGACGGTAACCATTGACTTGCATAGTATTTTTTTTTCCATACTATGGAAGTCAATGGCTACCGTTAACTATTTGCTTACCAACATTCTTCAAATCTCTTCTTTTGTTTTCAGCAGACGAAAAAAACTCATACAGGTTTGGACAATGTAAATGATGACAGAATTATACATTATTTTATACATTATTTCAATTTAGTTTAAACAATATTTGAAACACTAATTACAGTCCAAATAGCATCCATTTACACTTTACACTTCTAATTAGCAGGACAGATCCATGGGTCTTTGGGCAGATATATTACTTAAAAGAACTTTATTTATTTATTTATGTATTCATTTGTTTATTTATTTATCAAACCAGCAGTAGGAATTGTGGGAAATGGAGTTGGATTTACAGTATGTACTCAATGCAGCCGAGACATGATTTTAAAATTGCACAGTATAGACTACAACTACAGTATCTTCTTTTGTTTTCAGCAGACGAAAAAAACTCATACAGGTTTGGACAATGTAAATGATGACAGAATTATACATTATTTTATACATTATTTCAATTTAGTTTAAACAATATTTGAAACACTAATTACAGTCCAAATAGCATCCATTTACACTTTACACTTCTAATTAGCAGGACAGATCCATGGGTCTTTGGGCAGATATATTACTTAAAAGAACTTTATTTATTTATTTAGTAGGAATTGTGGGAAATGGAGTTGGATGTACAGTATGTACTCAATGCAGCCCAGACATGATTTTAAAATTGCACAGTATAGACTACAACTACAGTACCAAGTAAATTAATCTATCAATTTACCTCACACACACAAACAAGCATGCAACAAACTCTTGCTTCACACAAACATGTGGCTCTGTCTCACATGCATGCAAAACTATATCGCACACATTCTACTGTGGTAAATTCATTCATCGTACAGACGTTTGTTTGTTTTTCATTGCACGTGCAACATGTGCCATGGTGCACACTGAGAATAGTTTAAAAGTTGAATATTTATATTTAATATTTAAGTATCAGAGCAGTGAAAAGTAAAAATATCACCTGTGACATTTAAGAGTTAGATGAAATCTCTGTTGCACTTGCGGATGTGATTGTCTGGATAAAATGCAAGTCAGTGTGTGATAATGGCCAGCTCCAACCATTTTGCTCAAAAGCGTTTATCTGATGGTCAGTGTTATCTTCTGCCAGTATTTTGGCTTTTTAGATGTGTAGATATATTCAGTGAATGCTATGGTGTAATGATCCCCTACAAAGCTGTCCGTTGCTGTGTTATACTACAATCACATCAGACTGTGAGTCCACCAGTAATGAAACCCTTCAGTAATGAGCAAACGATACTCCATTTTCCTTTAGTCATTCAGTTTTGACAAGTCACCCTATGATCAGTCTCTAAGTATTTCCTGTGTTTTAAACTCATTCCCTCCTGGTATGTTGCAAACTCTCTTCTGGTTTCTCAGTATTTCAACTTTTCATAACCTTTTCATAACTTGTGTGTTGTTAGAATGCACCACTGTAAACAAGAATCCATTGAATAGAAAGTAATATTTTTAAATGAGACCCTTCACAGCAGACTTGTGATGTTAGTTTGATTATGAAGTCCTTTACAGCTGTTAATTCAGAATTTCTGTTTTGTCATCAGTCTTTATTAGTGGCATGTTTTAAGATACATTTATCTCAAAATAATTCATCTGTTACTTTAAAATTCTAAATTCAGTAAAAGTGAACTGTGTCTAATGTAGTTGCCAAAGAGTGGTGAAAATTCCAGATGAGGCAAACAAGAGTGAATGGAGCAACAACAGTGATACAAGTCTGACAAATATTCCTTCTATGTTAACATCAGAGTTAAGAATATTTGTAGATGTCAGCATGCAACAACTATATATATATATTTTTTTATTCTTGGTGCGTCACACTTTTTAATTTCATTTATCGATGTGCTGTGTTAAACTACTTTCCCCCCTATGGTTTTCAAAAAACAGAATATGCAATTTCTCTACTAAGAAGTATTTAATTAGTCTAATTTTTATGGTTGCCAAACATCATATATTTATAGAGTCCTATATTTGCGCATTCTCAATTAACAAGGCTCATACAAACAAATATAGTTAAACCATTAGTTTTTCCATACGTGTTATGTAATGAGATTATATATATATATATATATTGAACATTTGTGCTTTTGAATATCGTATAATTTTTTTTATTTAATTTTCGGAACATTCTTTTAGAGCATTCACTATAGTACGATTAACATTCCCCCAACATCTTTATTCCGATATCATTTTATTTATTTATTTGAGATATATAGCTATCACAGTAGTGCCATCTGCCAACATAGGCTAAGTATGATAATGTGTCTCAGCTGTCCATGTCCCAGCAAACTCTTCCCAGAGTTTAAAACTTCGCCTGTCTACGCACAAAGTCATGTTTGTTAAAGAAGGGCATAAACCGATTGCACTCATATATCATAATTTAAGAATAAAGTGCTTCGTTTTATTCGCATGTAATGAACAAATGCAAGGGGCTTTCATTGAGGACCGTTGCGCGCGGTGGACCACACACCACGTTGTGACAGCGTTTAAATGCGTTATCCACGGTCCGAGAGGAACTCCATTCCAAAAATACTGTCTGTGGAAACCCAAGCTCCTAGAGACACAGATGGGATATGTGCGCGCTCACTGGACGTCACCTGGGGTCCAAAAACTGTCATACTGAAATATAGCAAGTGCACAGTGCCATCATGCTCATCTACCACTAAACAAGCCTGTTAACAACCCTGCAATCTTTTCTGAATTTCATCTTTTATAGAATCGGGGGGGGGGGGCAGCTGTCTAATGTAAATTCTGTTAAATGGATATCCTAAAAACCACAATTCAGTAAATCAGTTCATAGCTTTTCGCTTAAGATCCAGACCCCAGTGCATCAATGTAATAATATTAAGAGATGTGAAAATATGAAATATTGTCTAAAGTAGGCTACAGAAGAAATCTTTGACCAGTGAACTGTTATGTATGAATAAAAATAATACTTATGTAAGTAATGGGTGGAGACTTGTAGTGATGACGAAGGGATTTGCTACCAGAATACAAGTGCAATGTGAGAATTAAAAAGAGTTTCTGAATTACTGAATTGGGCTCGAATTGGTTGCCCTGACTCTTCTTTAATGTCATCTGACTTTATAGGTAAAACAGGGAAGACACGACATGAACTAAACTGCATACAAAAACATTTCGGATAGAACTCACAATGTTCTAATTTAAGACAGGTTTGATAAAACATAACTCGTGGTATTGATACGCAAAAATGGACTTTGGCGTGTATATGCTATGCGATGAGTAGTTTTAGGGTTGTGGGGTAGATGCGTATCATATGCACGCGAAAACTGCGTATCATATGCACGCCAAAGTCCATTTGATGCGTATCAATACCACGAGTTTTCGTTTTTATTTGGCGTACTATTTATACGCATTTTCACGAGACCGGGCTCAACAAAACATGCAAACGAAAGAACTGCCGAGAAAAAAAAATTGACTTTTGAAGTCAAACAGCCTTTGTGACATGTTCCGCGTAATAGCTCCAAAACCAGTAAAAAAAAACGAAGTAGCCTATGCTACACAGATATTTTGAAGATTAGATGCACTTTTTTTTCACAAATTGCGGCTTTAATTTGTGGTAAACATCAAACAGCGAGGCTGTGTCGGTTGTTCTTGTTTGTGTGTTCACGGGGATTGTAGATCTGAGAAAATATTCGGAGGGTGTGTAGGCCTAGCTGTCTGTTGGGGGCGAAGGTGGGGGACTGAATGCTCTTTTCACAAGTTGAAGGTATGACTCAGACTCAGCGTGCACATTCACACTCAGACTCATGCCGCCGAGGAATAAATTAAATCAAATTTAAATTCAAAAGAATAAATGAAATCAAAATGACTTATGTTTCCATTGATCACAATGCAAAACGTTTTAGCCCATTTATTTATATATTATGAGCTAGATGTTAGCTAGAAATGATTTACTGCGATCGTTAAAGCACCAGCACAGATGTTTTTTTAAAAGAACGAGAGAATAAAATTGTAATTATTTTTTAAGCCTAGTATAGCTAAATGATTGCAATTAAAAACATTTAGGCTATTTTAAGAATCTACTCAATTTTTTTTATTAGGCATGTTGTAGGCTATTTAGTTTTCTTTATTCCTATAAATTCTAAAAACGAAGTTGAACCAACAAGCGTAGCGGGGGATTAATTATTTTAGTTCCAATATGCCCACACTTAAAAATGGTTTCACTCACCTTGTTCCCAGCATGCACTGTGTGAATAATAGGCCTATATATGTTTGCATTGTTTGGCCGTTCTACATTTTTTTTTCACTACACTAGGCTATGTAGACAGCAAGTTGTTCGAAAGGATAATGCTGCTTAAATCGTTACAAATTCTTACACAACAGTTGTATTTAAAATATTAAAATGTAGCAGTGAAACAGTATTTTTTTTTAAAGAGGCCTATAATTCATGAAGCAGTAAATGAAGCAGCCTAAACTGGAGTGTTGTTAAACAATATTTTTGGAAGTTTGGAACAGAATTTTCTGGGTCGTTTATCCTCACTGTCGTTTTTCTTCTTTTTCAATTTCCGGGTCCTTGGGCCTTGTGTGGAGACAACAATGAGACGAATCCATGAATATCAACCATCTGACTAAATGCCAAAACCATTTTGGACTACACACACAAAAGGGCAGTGGCGTGTTGTTGGGTATTGTTGTCTGTGATCACTAGAATAAATAAACATCAAAATTATTCTAACTTTCTACAATAATAATCTTTATAAAGGTATGTTGCCTTTTAAGAACTGACAGGGACTACAGAACTAACTCTGTTGCCAATAAATACATAAATAGACATAAAAAATAGGCTACGCGAATTGTTGCTTCAGTTTGTGGGAAAATATTAATGAAACTTCTACACATAATAGTAGGCGATTACAACACATGAACAGAGGAGTAGTTCAGCATATGAACTACATTGTTATGTTGCTGGAAAAAAAAGAGGAAAAATAAATTATATTCGTTTTGACGTCTAGTGCTCCTGAAGTTGACTTAATGCAAGCCAAGCGACAAAAGCCAAAATATAACGATGGAACAGAAACATTTGTCATTTTAATTTTTAATTTTGTAAACATGTTTACATTTGTAAGTCGCTTTGGATAAAAGCGTCTGCTAAATGACTAAATAAATAAATAAATAGGTTAAAAAATGAAATAGGTTAGACCTATTAATATCATTATATATGTGACCTTCCTGAGGAATTTATTTATTTACTTTTTAAATTTTGAACGGTGAACTGAGAAAACCAAGGGACATAAAATGTACGACATTAAAATAAATAGGACTGCGCTATTTACAAAATAGGCTGTGAGATCTTGTAAATAATAATAATAATAATAATAATAATAATTGTCACTAGGCCTAACCTATAGCAGCACAAAATCGCAGCGAGATCAGTCACACGCAACAGATAATTTTTTTCTGTTTTATTAAAACCGATTATTTTGTCCATTTCGTAGACTTAAATATATGCATTGGGCAATATTAGTTCTTTTGTAATTATCTTGTAAATATCTAACGTTTATTATTAGGCTAAACGACGCTTATTTATTAATATATATATAGGCTATAACATGTAAATCTTAATTCCTTGGAAACCATCGGTGGAGTGTTATGTCTGGATCGTGCATGCTGCAATCCTATTTTATGTTTCATAACTTGGTAAATTTGGTCTGGTTTGATGAACATGAGGCATTATTTTTATATGAGTATGGTGTGTGTCAGCTGGAATATTTCTACGATCGAAAGTACGATATTCGATATTCATAAGTTAATGTTCCTGCTTTTGGTTCATGCAACAAAAGATATGGCCTATACATAAAGAAAAGAAGAGTATTATTTTTGTTATTAGTATTATAAAGAGTATTATATTATTTGTTACCAGATGCCTTACCAGATGAAGGTCGATCAGAGTATCTCGTGCAATAAACCCAGGCGGGCCACATAAGCTCTCGGGTGCCCTTACTGGGCGAGGGGGCTTCACCTGGGCTATTCAAAGCAACGGATGGCGCTGAGACGACCCCAGATTTTGCTGCGTTCCCTCTATCGGCCTCGGCTGCCTTGGAATGCCTTCTGCTGGCTGGAGACGAAACGGTGGACGAGGCAGAAGATGAAACACTGTCGGTACTGCAGCTGGAATCCGGACAAGGAGTGCTGGGGACAGCTGGACAACGCTCCCTTTTGCAGCCGAAGTCCGGTCTGAGGATGTTGTCAATGAAAAAGTTGGTGGTTCTGTGCGTATGGTGCGCAGCCTGCAGCGGGAGCAGAGGTGGAGAGGGCAGGCTCGGTGACAGAGAAACGCTGTCATCTTCGCTCTGATCCCGCTGCTCTTCCATAACAGCTCCCCTCTTTGATATTCGCTCCAGTGGTTGGATTGTAACCTGTTCCGTTCCAAATGTAACGAAAGACTGGACAACGTTATCTAGGTATCCATGACAACGCGCTAATTTCCCGCGAAAGTGAGTACATTTTGTAAGTCAACTTGTTGACATGTAGTGGAGAGCTTGCGTGCTGTCACTTTGGATAGGACTGACAGCGCACGGTACGCCGCGTTCCTACACCCTCCGCATTGCCAGACCGCGGTTTGACACCTCTTTTTCTGGGACTCTACTCGTGCACAACCACTCTTAGTGGCCACTAACCGGAAACACATCAGATCACATAGATGAGCGGGGAGCCTATCCATGACAAAGGAGCTCTTTGCCACGTGTGTCAGCGTCCAATTCCGTTCCGCGCCCGTGCTCACAGATATCCAACGGCGCAGAGATTGCTCTCGCACTGGTAGCTGAATTCTGCCTCCTGCAGTCACGCTTATTCACCCACAGACGCGAGGAGAGAATTAAAATGAAAAAGAAATCTTCGAATAAATTGAGCTATTTGCAGCTTATGAGAAGAAATAGCATATAGTTAAAAACAGTAGGCTATGACTGTTATAAGACAAAAAAATAGCCTGAAAAACTTAGAAAAGATCACAAAACCATACTACAATAGGCTCATTTGCGAAAATATAGAACTACTTCATATTTAAAGCCAAATCCGTTTTCTGGATATAATTGTCTCTTAATTTAAATTGAAACACAGACGCGAGGAGAGAATTAAAATGAAAAAGAAATCTTCGAATAAATTGAGCTATTTGCAGCTTATGAGAAGAAATATAGTTAAAAACAGTAGGCTATGACTGTTATAAGACAAAAAATAGCCTGAAAAACTTAGAAAAGATCACAAAACCATACTACAATAGGCTCATTTGCGAAAATATAGAACTACTTCATATTTAAAGCCAAATCCGTTTTCTGGATATAATTGTCTCTTAATTTAAATTGAAAAAAAAAAAAATAGCTGCTAAAACAAAAATTACCACTACTAGCCTAAACCCTCTAAAAAATGCTGGGTTAAATACAACCCAATTGCTGG